ACTTTGTTTTGCCTGAAGATACCAATTCTCTTTCCCAGTTGTTCTGTTTTAGGATCTCAACTACTGAGTCAAACATAAGAAAAGTATAATGATTTCCAAGTCTGTAAAAAACATTTTTTAGTGAGACTAACTTCTTGGGTCTTCACTCTGTCTGTAAAGGTTGTAGCAAGTGTTAAGTCTGATGAGAGGCTCAAGTGACTTTTTTAAGGTCGCATATGTCAGTAAAAGATGAGCAAGTGACCCCAGAAGTACTCCCACTAGTCTACACTCTTAACCACTAGACCACACTAGCTCACATGTCTGATTCATTTTAAGAAATGAGTAGATCTTACGATTTATAAAGGCCCACTTGCACATGTTCTTCAAATAAATTTGAAAATCTGTCATTACAAAATAAAACATGCTAATGAAAACTGACAAGCCTAGTACTTCTAATTCATCCTTCCTTTGTGATAATCAACACTGTTAAGTAAGATTTTAGACTTCCAGAAGAAAGCTGCATGCCTCTAACTAAGCAAATCGTGGTCACAGCTGAGTCAATTGGTTTAGCAATCTTTCCTTGGCACACCAACAGGCACCAGAATTAAGAAGGTAATTCTCTAGTTTTCATCACAAATTAGAATCACTTAGAGGAACTTAAAAGAAAACAGTTATGTCCAGGCCCCACCCAAGAACAGGGAGTCAAAAATATTTGAAATAACCATTAGTATTTAAAAAAATCTGCTTGATTCTAATGTAGAACACGTTTTGAGAAGCACTAATTTTAAGTTCTGTTAGGTTTATTTTTGAGATGGGGTCTTATGTTAGCCACGCTGACCCGAACTCTTGGGACTCAAGCAATCCTCCTGTCTTAACCTTTGGATCTGTAAAGTGCTAATCATTTGTCATAGATGTTAAATGCATTGTTGGAAGAGAATAAAGAGACAGGAAATGGTATTTTTCTGGAAGTAACTGTATAACAAAGTACATGGTAATACTGACCAAAAGGTATGTCTTATTTATGGGCACTGAAATAAGGAAGGTGGTATTTCTAACTAAGATGGGAGTAAGGGGGTTAAGGAAAACTTGCAAGGAGCTAGTGACCTGAGATAGGCCTTGAAGGCTAAATTAGACAGGTATGAAAAGGAAAGATTCTTCAGGCATTGGGCACAGTGCTACCAAATATGCATGTAAGGGTAAATTAGTACATAGACACAATTTAAGAACATAAAAGAGAAACAAATTAGAGTGCTTGAGGCCAATTTAGAAGGCCCTTGAATTTCACGCAAAATTATCTGGTAGGAATTGGGAAGCCAGCTTTTTTTTGAGACAGAATTTCACTACTGGAGCTCAGATTGGCTTGGAACTCACTATGTAGCCCAGGCTGGCCTTGAATTGAGGATTTTCCTGCCTTGGCCTTCCAAGTGCTGGGATTACAGATATGTACCATTCCCAGGTAGGAAGTCAAAAGAGTTCTGTTTTACTTTTTAGTACTGGTAATTGAACTTAGGACCTTACGCTTGCCAGGCAGGTGCTTAGGCCTCCACGCTATATCCCCGGCCCAGTCACTAGAGTTCTGAATGTCCCCCCATCAGTGTTATCTTGAGTGAGATTATTACAGCTGGAAGAAGGATGGATCAGTTCCTTGAAGAGACATATGGCAAGGAAATCTTTTTAGGAAGGCTATAATTGCAGCAGTCTAATGAAGACTTGATTCCTAGCAGTGGAAATGGAGAAAATCAATTATATAAAAGGCAGACTGATTAGATATGGAAATAAAAGGGCAAGAGAAGCACAAAAGACAAATCATTTAATTCCAGGTAATTAAAAAGATGAAAATGCAACCATAAGATACAAGGGACATCTAAAAGGGAAGATGAACTCAACTTTGAGCCTAAAATGCTTGCGGGATACCCAAATGGAGATGTTAAAAAACTGATCTACAACCTAGGAGAGAGGTAAAAGCTGAAGATAGAATTTTGGTTATAGAATGACCAATTTTCTTTCTAAAGTAATTTCACTATCCTTTACCAATTACATTTTTCTGATTTTTGAACTAATCTCTCATCATCACTCTTGAATCTTTTGCTTCCTGTCTTAATTATTCTACCCAGCAAAACTATAACGTGAGACCAATCCTGCAATCTCTTTTATCTATATTGACAACAAGATGGCTGAAAATTATCGAGGTATGGCTTGTAGTGGGAAGAAAGGACCCCAGAAGACAAATATTTCAACAAATCCCAAACTCTAGTATTATCTGGACACCTAATGTCACTTGGAAATTGTTTCCTACCCTTAGTAAGCTTCTTTTCTGGATCATCTCAGTAACTGTCATTATTTTTGCTCTCTACACAATCATCACCTCTATATTTTTAGAACAAAACCTTGTATCTTAGTTGATTAAAAAAATGAAGCTGCCGGGCATGGTTTAACAATCTTTCCCTTCCACTTATATAAATCCACCTCAATAGCCACACTGTTGTCTTATTTTCTTCCTGTCTCAGAAGATGTAGTAAAAGTTTCTTGTTCTAGCTATTTTATCTGCATGTGTCCATCCCTTGTTTGAGACAAGGTGTTGCTATGTAGCTCATGCTGAACTTGAACTCACTATGTAGTCCATATGGCCCTGAGCTCACAGAAATCTTCCTGCCTTAGACTCCAGAGTGCTGAGATTAAAGCTGTTCTAAAATGATAAAGAGCCAACTCCAAAACTCTTCATTTAAAATGGCTAGGGGGCTGGGCATGGTGGTACACACACCTGTAATCCCAGCACTTGGGAGGCTGAGGCAGGAGGATCATTGCGAGTTTGAGGCCAGCCTGGGCTACAAAGTAAGCTCAAGGCCAGCCTGACCTGCATAGTGAGACCTGGTCTCAAAAAGACAAAAAAAAAAAAAAAAAAAAAAAAAGGCTAGGGGACAACACACACAGTAATACTGTTCTTTTGGTGCCTTATTCCATCCTGTATATTCACCTTCGAATTATTTTTCCTTATTAGCTCATTCTTCATGCCCTATAAACATATTTGTCTCTTTTGTTCTGTTTTTTTGTTTTTGTTTTTTATTCCGGTACCGGGAACTGAACTCACAACCTTGTGCTTGCCAGGCAGGCGCTGTGCCGCTGAGCTAAATCCCCAGCTCCGTATTTGTCTCTTTCTATCCAAACAAATTGTGACTGCTCAGCCTGTCCTATAATTACCAAGTTTCTCAAAAGAGAAGAGTACATTACTTGACTCTATTCCATATCTTAAACTGGATATAGGGACTGATATATTTCTTCAAATTAAACAAAAAACCTTTTTTTTCCCAATTGCATACACCTCCCCACTCAGGGGAAAAAAAACATCTTTTCTCTTACTTTCAACATATAACCACATATCTCAGTACCACCTAAGCAGTAGTGACATTTTATAGATTTGGGAATTTTATTGTAGAGCATGTAGAAAGTGATGTAAATCTTAGTGTTTTATTTTATTATTTTTTTAAAGAGCAGAATATATTGATTGAGGGAAAGAAAGCTTCTGTCCAAGAGAGAGACAGAAGGGGACCCCCAGTGGGTTGCCCCTTAGTGTTTTAAAAGAACAACATTTTTCTCTGCACTGTACCCAGAGGAATAACAGTTAGAAGTTGACAGTTTCTTTTTTCCTAAGAAACATTTTTGCAGTGGGGTTTGGTATTATTACTGCCTCTATGTGGCCACCATGTGATGAGAAACATCACATCATAATGTGATGCATGGCCTATAAAACTCAATGGACAGAAAAAATCAGTAACTAATGAAACTGAAATAGTCCAGAAGTTTCAGTTACTGTAATGTGATTTCACCACCACAGAAATTCCAGGTGTTCACCAAGCACTTTGTAGCAATTTCCCAGGTGCTTTTGCTGCACGGGGATTTTCAATATTAAGCCTATGTATTCTGATACATTCCTCTGTCTTTTAAGGCACAGTATAATTGAGCTATACTAAAAAAACCAGCCACTCAACTCCAAAATTCTTCATTTAAAATGGATAGTGGTACAACACAAACAGTAATAGTGAGAACCAGGGAATTCCAAGCTTTGTTTCACCCTTTAGCTCTTATCTTCTCTAAAAGTTTGTACAAACATTTAAGCTAGGAGCAAAAACTGGAGGCATTTGAATTTTATATCCAAAAACCATACGACTTTACTGTGCACTAGAATGATCAGAATGGGGAAAGAAAACTTAGAGATAGGAAGAAAATTTAAAAGATGCCAAATCTTTATAATATACAAACTGAGTGAAAGTATTTAAAGACAACAAAAGAAAAAAATCCCACTAGATTCAGGATCTTGAATTTAGGAGGCACTCTTAATGCACTTCCGAATAATAATTTTTTTCTCTTTACAATTTTGTTCAAGTTTCTCAGACAACTTAATAAAAAAATTTAGTAAAACTACTTAAAGGAGGAGTTTGCCTCCAGAGTGAAAATTTCCATTTGGATCTCTTAATATTTATAACTGCTTCAATTCAATGAACAAATAGCAACATGCAAAACATTTAAGGAATTTTCTAGAATTGTCTGTGATATGTCAGATAAATAACTAAAAGATGTACCTATTAGGTAACGAATTGCTCCATAACCAATTCTATTAGTCCACTGAGGATAAAACAGTAAGTCTACCGAAAACAGGAGAAAGTAATTTTTGGAATACAGTTTTTGAACAAATGAAACATTTTTAAAAAATTAAAGTGTTCAATATTTTATCATATGAATCAAAAGATGATCTCAGATGTACATCTAAATTTTAAATAATTTATTAAATGTCATAAAATTGTTTGCAAAAAATGCTAGATTTGGTTAAAAGCAGAAATTCTCCTTATGTTAAATATTCAGATATTTATCAGTCTATATCTCCCCTGGAAAACATGATCATTATAGAAACTGTATTTCGGGGCTGGGGATTTAGCTCAGCGGCAAAAGCGCCTGACTGGCAAGCGCAAGGTCGTGAGTTCGGTTCCCGGTACCGGAGAAAAACCAAAAAAAAAAAGACACTGTATTTCTGTAATAAAAGCCTTTCATTTATAATAGTAACCAACTATTTTTGTTTTTCTCCCATGTTGTCCATCAGTATTATGAAATCTATGTTGAAGTCTGTAATATCAACAGTAATGTATCCAAGTTTCCCCCACCTACTTACTTATTTGATTTATTCTGTGAATAGTTACCATTACTGAGGGCATGGCACTGTGAGACAAAAGTAACCCAGATAATGGCCTTGACTACATGGAGATTATGTGGTGGAGGAGGCAAGAATCAAACACAGCCACTAATGAAAATGATAATACAAGTTTTGGAAAAAGAAGCACACTTTACCCCCTTTCTTTTCTCAGTGCTGGCGATTTAATCCAGGCCCTGGTGCATACTAGGCAAGAGCTCTACTGCCTACTTATAGTGTAAGCCCTAGTTCACTCATGTTTTAAAATACTAAGATCAGGAAGCAAATGTTACCATACTGACATTCAAAGTAAGGATAGAGAAGCATGTGAAAGAAACAGTGCAGGAAGGGAAAAGAACACGGCGGAAAAGGAAGGTGGGCAAAACGGGCTAGGGGAAAAAAGAGGCCGATGTCTTTGACACTGCCAGTCTCTTCATGGGCTGCATTCTACAGGTACCTTCCGTCTTTTCTTTTTCTAATGCTGTTTAGTGTCTCCTTTCCCTCTGATACCAACATGCTTCAGTCTCAATTATCCTGAGAAATCTTCTGAAGATTTACCATGTCCTACCAGATTATAATCATTTTCTCTTCTACCAACCAGATGAACAGAGTGGTCAACCATTGCAATGTCTAGTATCTCAATACCTGTGTATCATAGCAACCTGTGTAATCTGGTTTCAATGCCTATCATTCAATGGAAATTGCTTGTTTTGAAGGTTACACACAACAGCTTAACTGCCAAAACTACAGCTTTTTTTCAGTCCTCAATCCTTAAAAGGACCCCCACCTCATCCTCAAAAAGGCAATCACCACCTCTTTCTTGAACCAAAACCACCTCAACAGCATACTAGTTATGTGTTCCTTTCTGAGGCACTCTGTGCAGTGAGGACCCATGTTGATGTCAGATACTCCTGAGACCAATCTCGGCTGTGACAAGCTTGGGCAAGGTGGTTGTCTTTTAGAGTCTGTTTCTTCCTTTGGCAGGTGGAACACCACCACTGACCTAAGTGGTAAAAATCAAATGAAACAATGAGACAGTGTTCTAAAAAAGTTGTCCCCCACCTTTTCTGCTTTCCCTGTATTCTACAGGTACCCATGGCCTGTATATATGGCTGTTTCACATCATTCTGTTTCATTTTGACTCTGCATTTAATATTCTCTACCTCTGCCATCTGACACACTCTAATGCTGACTCCAAAGTCTAGGTCTCTTATTTTCCTCACCATTTCTCAGCTTCAGTTCCACATTTTCATCTACCTGCTGGAGAACCATTCAGCTGGATGATAAGCCTAAATCTTACACTGAATGCGAATAGTCTTGGTGCTTGTGGAATAGGTTTAAAACCAAATCTCACCTCCTTCAACTAGTTCTTCCTACCCACTCCCCTAAAGGCGCAGTGCCCTTCCCAGTCATTTGTCACGATATTTTGAAGTTGTATTAGACTCCTCCTCCATTGCTAAGCCCTGAAGATTCTAGAGCTGTAGCATCTCTCATAATTTGGCTTTCCTTTTCATTTTTACTGTAATTGCTTTAGTTCATTGTCTATCTCTTTGTTTTACTATGTTGTCATTAGTAGTAGCTCTGAGAACAATTAATTCCAGAAATGGTGGGGGCCAGATCCAGAATGCAAGACATTTATCAGAAACACTAGAATCACAGAGAGCTGATAAGAATTCCAAACGTTTGGTAGGAATAGTCTGAGGCGAGAGACAAAGGATGCATGTGGTTCCGTTTTGGTTTTTAAACTTTAAAGATGAATAAGCACTTGCAGGCAGGAGGCAAGGAATCAACATAGGACAAGGACGCATAGATTCCAAAAGAAATTTCATTCATTTTTTTACTACCGGTTATTTTTTAACTGTGATGTTCTAGGCACAATGCTGAGTGCTAGGTATACAATGGTAAGTAAAAATAGACACAGAACCAGGCTTTACAAATTTTCAAGGTTAGTGAGGGAGGCAGATATTAACCAGGTAATCATATAACTTACTATAAAATTGAAAGTAATGGCAATTAAATATAGAGTTTAAAATTTGTAATTGTGAAAGCCTGTTTAGAGATAATGGGTCTAGTCAGGAAGTTATGTGAGGAGAGAACATCTCCTTAAATTCTGAATGATGAAGGAGAAGTAAAGGAAGTGAAAAAGTGAGAACATTTAAAAAAAAAAAAAAAAAAGTGAGAACATTTTGAATCTGGGCCTGTGGTGGAAGAACTGAGGAAAGGTATGAAAGAAGGTCAGAATGGCAGGAATGGAGAGGGATGTGTAGGATGAGGCTGGAAAAGCAGGGCTAGACCTTGCAGGCCATGTCAGCCACGATAAGAGGTTTTCCTTTAAGAGCAACTGGAAACTTTAGAAGGGCTGGTACAAGATGGAAGACATGACTAGTTCTGACTCAAGATCTCTGCAAGAATGACTTTCCTAAAGCACAAATTTTATGGTGTTACTCTTCCCAAACCTTAAGTGACTTCCACTCTGAATGGTTTACCAGCCATTAAAGGATCTATCTTACAAGAGATTCAACTGTTCTTTTCAGTTACCTTATGTTCTTGACTGTATCTCTTCACTTTTTCCATGCTATCAGTACTTCCTAGAATGCTCTGATCTATTTCCTTCTATATTTTAAAATCCTCTCTACTTCTCTAAAACTGTTTCTGATCCTTTAAATTCAGATTTGAAGTGCTATAATAGCTTGTGCTTCTTCTTTTCTTTTCTAAGCATTTAACATATTCAGTGTTTTACTGTAGTTATATATGCACATACTTATCTCCCCCTTTCTGCAGCCAGGGCTGCTCAAAAATATATGCTGTATATTTTTTGAGTTTGATTTTTAAGTATTTAAAAAATTTCCATCATTGTGTAGATGGCTGATTCAACACTGATTTATAGTTATGACAAAGTGTGAGTTTCATATTTTCAGGCATACATGAGCTCTACTTATACAACTTTGCATGGCATGATATCAAAGACAAAAATGTCTAAATAAACTCTTTAGAAGAAAAGTAAGAATTTTAAATAATTTTTTTTTTTTTTTTTTTTGGTTTTTCTCTGGTACCAGAACCGAACTCATGACCTTGCGCTTGCCAGGCAGGCGCTTTTGCCGCTGAGCTAAATCCCCAGCCCCCTAAGTAATATATTTATCTATCCTTCTGCTGACAGTCAGATAGTATCTCAGAGAAGACACTCAGGTTACTTTAGAATACCCGGTTCAAAGAAGTAGTACCAATGAACATGTAGGATCTTTACATCAATGAATAAAGGAATAAAAATGAAAAACATTCTCCTAGACTCAGAGCTTTTGCTTTGTGTAAAGTGGTACTGCAGATTGAAAACAGTGCCTCATGCATGCTAGGAAAGAGCTCTATCACCAAGCTACACCTCAGCTCTGATTCTAAAGCTATTTTTAAATAATTCCTCAAATGGAAAAAAAAAAACACATTAAAAAACTTCTAGGCTTTTCTATTCATTGATGACTTATTCCTAGATGAAAACATAAAGTGGAAAGGGGGAAAAGGCACACAGCTATAGTGGGGATTCTGTTAGCAAAACAGAATTTTAACCATTTAATGGTTTACTCCAAGTATCACTTGGGCAGTGTGTTTGATTACGTACTTACTATCCAACTGTTGGTCACGCTGGTGTCCCTTCAACTAGTCAATTATTGTACTCAATAAATTTGATAAAATTGTCATTTTTATATTTCCTATTATATTATCTTATAAAAATTAATGAAAAAATATGCAATACTTTTTGTCATCCTGCATTTAAATAATTGTACTGGTAAGTGGTTAAAACCTATTGTAATATTTTTTAAAAAGTCAACTTACCCATTCTATTTTTCTCTTCATCACCTTTAGTATAATACTGAGGTAAAAAAAACACTCCACTGTTTCCTTTTGCATCCAGGAAATTTTTTCATTTTTGAAATGGACAGTAATATGTCAATTAAAGTCTACACCAAGAATAAAGCAATCTTGGAGGTGTTCCTCCCATTTATTAAATGTGAACTCTGTACTCTTTCCATAGAAAGACTGACTAGCCATATCATTTAAATGTATTTCTTTGCCAAGCTTAATGACTAACAAAGTGTAACACCTAGGCAGTGTCATCATGGATTTCTACCAGCAAAATTAAATTGTTTTCCAGACCAAACATTCATTTTCATTATCTCTTTCAGTAACCTTTGATATATGACATTTAGAATAGTTTCTCAGTTCCAGCTACTTGGGAAGCTGAGGCAGAATACCTGAGTTCAGGACTCTGAGGCCAGCTTAGGCAACACAGCTAGGCACCTGTCTCATTAAAAATAAAGTTTCTTATTTATGACATCTTAACACTTCACAGTTGAATTTGCACTGCCAAGTTGATTTAACCGGCATTTAGTCTAATCCCTCACATGGCCAACAACAAAAAAAATACCCAAATAAGGTTAAGTAATTTGTACAAGGCTGTATTGCTAGCTAGGGACAAAAACAAGATATTACCAGGAATGAGATTGAGTTTAGGGTATCAAGAGACCCTTGTATAAGTTAAAGATTTTGTCTCTGTGATGTAATTACATTTAATACAAATATTTAATAAAAATTTCATAAATTAAAATTGCTAATTTAAAAAACTAATTTTCTTAGGTATAAAGCTAAAGTTCTCAAATTTACAATACTGCTAGATACGTAAAGCTGGAACTAGTATGGATTTCTAAGAGAAAAAGAAAGCAGACATGAAGCATACACCATGAAGAGGCATGTAATTATGGGCTTTCCATTTCAGAACTATTATCTAGAAAACTGAGATAAAAACTTTGATTATAAAAGACTATGACAGCCAAAAATAATAAAATGTTTTTCTTATAACAGATGGCTTATGTCCTGATAATATTTGCATTTAATGCTTTAGGATTACCTATTAATAAGGAAGCCAGGACTCTCTCCATTGATATTTCTAATTCAAAAGAAACAAGTTCTTTGTAAATCACTTTGTAGTGATATATTACATGTATGTTTACTTAAGAGGTTGGGTTCTAGTGACTTTATATCTAAATCCTATTTGTGACAAGTCTATGGAGTAGCTCTGTAGATGAGTGCTACAGAAGCTTTTTCTCCCCCATAATTATTGCTGTGTGGCAATTCTCTCAGACTAGTGGTTCTGGCTTTTTTTCCCCAATGCTCTAAGACTAAGTGAAATCAACCAGGCATGTGCAGAGAAAATGATTATCACTGTCTTACAGTGTAGAACCTGAGGCTAGAGGTAATAGGGCCCCCAAATCTCATGCTTACTTGCTCTCAGGGAGCTCAGTCAGACTGAAAATGACACTGGTATTATATGGGGCGTGACTCCTGCACTGAGGCTGTGATTGGCATGGGCCAACCTCTATGAACTTGGAGGGCACATCTTCTTACTGTGGACACTTGGTGGCCTTTTTTTTTTTTTTTTTTTTTGGTGGTGCTAGGGATAGATCCCAGGGCCTTGGTGGGGAGGAATAAAAAAGACTGAAATTATAAAATTGCAGGAGATATTGGAAATTCTGAGGGAAAAATTGTAGGCATTAGATTTTGATTAAAATGCAGACGTTAGGTTTTGACTAAACATTTAAACAAGTACTATTTCTTTAGAAAGTGCCTGAACTTCCACATAGCTCTGCGGGCTGAAGTAAAGACACTTCAGTTTAAAAAAATACACACTTTTCTTATACAAACTCTCAGCAATTTAGTATAGGAGTAAGTGCTTTTTTTTTTTTTTTTTTTAAGGCAAAATTTTCCTATGTTGCTTGCCTAGGTGGTCCTGAACTTCAGAGCCTCCTGCCTCAGCCTCCCCAGTAGCTGGGATTACAGGCAAGCACCATGGTGTCCAGTCATAATATAATTATTGTTTACTCCTTAGTAAATAAGTGTGTCAGATTTCTGTTACTGTGGTAAAGTACTTGAGAAGACAACTCAAAGGAACAAAGATTTATTCTGGCTCATGGTTTTACAGGTGTTAGTCCATGGGTACCTGGCTTTGCTGCTTCT